GAAGAGACGGGTAAAGGAAAGGAAAAAACTGCGGCTAAAAAGCGCGAAGAACCGCGATACCCTGTTGTGGAATGGAATATTCCACATATCCGACAGTCCAGAGTTGACCTTGTCCGCGATGAGACTTTCAAAGTGGAGGGGCCGAATGGAAGAGTCGAAGTTAGTCGACAACAGGTGAGTGACACTCATAGAAAGAAAACAGTATTTTGTTGACTTGTCAAATAGCTTCCTTTGATTCTGGCATGGGCGATGAGCATCCACAAATCGCAAGGACAGACCCTCGAAAAGGTGAAAATTGATTTGGGTAGGGTATTCGAGAAAGGTACGTGCGATACACTGCCTAGTCTGCTTTTTTTTAACCATGTCATAACTCTTTAGGTCAAGCCTACGTTGCTATATCACGTGCCACATCCCTCGAAGGTCTACAAATAATTGGTTTCCAGCCTAGCAAGGTTTATGCTCATCCCGCGGTGATAGAATGGAGCAAAACACTTGGCTCATAGAGCAGACCAGATCCACGATTGTAGCATAGACCGCCTTCCGTACTCTTCCTAGTAGAGATTTCTTGTTCATAATCAAGCTTAATACAGCTTCCTTGTATTGTGAGAGTCATTTGATTCGATAAGACTACGGTTTTACATTATAGATGTAAAGAGATTCAACGGCTACTCCTGTGGCTCGATATCCCGCTTCTTTAGTACCAGGTCTTTACCAGTGACACGTTTGTACACATCATGTACATCTTCCACGACAGTCTCAAAGTGAGAGGTAGCATCATAGGACCGCGTAATGAAGATGTTGTCCTCTTTGCCAGACGAGGTCGGTGTGTAGAGTGGGCTTATAGACACAAACCTAGAAATTTCGATATTGATTAACTATACCACGATCCAAAATATTACACTTACTTATCATAGATTTGGCCAAGAAGTTGAAGACCCGGGGCGATTTCCATTTCTGGCCTGTCGGTTTCTATAATTGTGCTGACGATTGCAATATAAACATTCTCCGCACAGACGTTGTGCGTAGAAGAGACCATGGCGATGTAGATATCTGCAAATCGGATTCGTTATCATCTATAAGACGAATAGCTATACACATACCATTCCTCCTGCCCACCTGGTTCTGTGGGATGATTATTTGCGCCGAATCACTGTCGTCTGTACCAGGAATGGGGTGCTTCAGGACGCAGATGGCTCGAATGACCTTGTGTTCCTCTACAACGCGTACTTTTCCAGAGGTGACACCTGAGGCACTCGCTCCAAAGTATGAAGGATCGCCAATCACCTGTTTTGCTTTTACAGTTTCATTACCAGACCTAACTCCAGCAAATTTTCCATGACTATCGAGTACAATCTCGTCAACTTTCTTGTCGAGCATATATGTTCCTCCATAGATTGCCGAAAGTCGGGCGAACGCCTGTGGCAACTCTCCTAGACCATAGAGAGGATACAGGTAAGGCGATTTGCCCCATCTTGCCATGGAAGAAGTATAGAGGACGATTCTTTCGTAGGTTGGGCGTGCTGGTTTGGTCTTATAATCGTCATCCAGATACAAGGCCATAGCATGGCCGATGAAATCTTGAGTACCGGGTTCCAATTTGAAGTAACTATAGACGGCTTGCATTGTATCTGTATCGAGATTGAGACCTTGATGAGTGGCTGGGTCTTCATCCTTCCAGCTCTGGAGGAACTCGAAGAACTGCTTGGCCCTTCTCTTCTCAAAAAGTCCCATGAGTGGCGACTTGACAGCTTCCATTTCCGTACTAGGGACTTTGGAGATCCTGCCATCTCTGTAGACGAAAGAACCTGCGATCTGCTTGAACTCCAGATAACGTGTTACATCAGTATGAACAAGAATCTTCGTCAATTCTCCGGATCCCATAATGAACTTGGGAATCAGGTCGATAGCATAGTCTCTGTCCCGTCCGAGCTCAGTAGGAGGGGATTGTGAAGGCCTATATTTACGATACAGCTATGATTATTATCAGCATTGATCCATTTCCTCGGATATTATATAATCAAATGATGCGTGCAAGCCGATAGTGACTAGGGAAGCCCGTCGCGAGGAAGGTGTGGCTAACCTGAGTCAAGTTGAGGGACGCGCTATCGCCTCCATAATAGTCATTACGATCCATATGAAGAACCTTCTTGCCATCGACGGACAAAAGACCTGACAGGATGCACTCAGTGAGGCCAGTGCCTAGGACGATAACCTAGCGAAGGTGATAGATATTAGCGTCAGGCGATATTATAGATGTGGATAAACAAACATCGTATTCTTCATCCATCGTTCTTTGTTATAGCTCTCTTAATCTTCAAGTCAACAGTCGTGTTCAGTAGGGTGGCAGAGTGCCCTGTGATTGCTTTGTCTACAACAATATCTACACGACCCTTACTAGAAGAAAGCGCCCATGTCAAACTCAGGAACTTGGACATCCCGCTTTGCAGTCTGCATGAGACTACCAAATCCTGTTCTTCCACGAGCCGCATTCTGATCTATAACAGGTGAAACAGGGGGCAACTCCTGTGTCTCTGGGACCGACGCTAAATGGCCATGTGAAGCCGTCAATGGAGTCTTTGGTAGCATAGGAAGACTCTCCTCAGTATCGATGTTAAGGTCGATGTCAATAACCGAACGGCGACGGGATTTTGAGCGAAGGAGACGGGGGGATGGGGGATGAGGAGAGGTGGACCTTGGATTCGACGTGGTAGTGAGTTTAAATATCCCTTCTCTGGGAATTTCGGGGGGGTCGAATGACCAGGAAGTGACAAGATCAAGAGCAAGTGGGTGGCAGCCTAACGGGGTTGAGAAGTCATGATAGAAAGCAAAGTGTTTACATACCCATCCGACAGAATACCCTGGAAATTTGTAGGACAAAATCGAACTCTTGTTGTCCAGGTATCATACTAGAGCCTTTGATCGTTTGCAAAGTCATCGTTTTCAAACGAGAATATAGAAGAGCAAGGCTTGGATCATCGTAGTTGGATTCTCCGACTTCGCTGACGTTGAACCCTTCTGCTACTAGCATAGAGGCAAATTCCTTGAGTGGGGTCTGCCACCTCGTTTAGCTAATATCAAATCTCAGTACTAGAGGACTCACTATTAGGATTCGGACACTCAAGTCTCTCCTATTTATCTTCCAGAAGGCCCAGCTAGCCAGCCATCGGTTTGCTTCTTTGAAGGACATAGGGATGACTGAAGTGTTGAGCAGTTCCAACAACATTGGACTTTGATCTCCTTCCACCACCCGGACTAAGGCAATGGCCAGTTGAATGTCGTTGATTTGCTTGAGGCAAACGTTTACCGCATCTTTCAAGCTTCCTCCAAGAAGAAAGAATGCTGCAGCCATCTCTATTGCAATTGGTCAACACTAAACAAGATGAAGATAAATCCAACAAACCAAATCTTCTTTTGCCAAGCAGTGCAAAAGCATTCTTCAAGGCGGCCGTTTTCCATCTAGGTTGGTCGAAGTCGTTTGAAAGGAATTTGAGCATCACCCCTTGTTCAGGATGCCAGGCTGCTTGTCTCCATAGGCCATGCACAAGCCGAACCTTTCCTAATGCGAAGT